GTTTGCAGTCCTGTCTTCGCTTGCGTCTTATTGGCGTCCCATCGGAATTCTGGCAGTGCACCTACAAATTTAGATGCAATTATGCTGCCAACATGCATAACTTCGAACGCAAAGAAGGTCATCTGCTCACATAACTTGTGGTGGCATCGCTATTCGGTCCTTTAACATTGTGGCTTCAATCAAGTTCCTTAAAGCAGCCATCATCTGGTCAGTAGGATAGGCTTGGCCCCATGAAAAGTAAGTTTTAGACTTACCTACTCCCTTTTTTCTTACGCCTCAATTGCTTCTTCTTAAACAGCCAACAGACATGTTATTATAAACCAGAAATCTCCCAAAATGTCCTCTGACTCTAGAAATTTGAGCCAACAGTTCTAGCCCGTTGCTCCAGCAAAAGGGATTTTTTGTGTAAATGTGCCTTTTGACTATTTATGAGTCTTTTTTCTCTCTTATATTTTTTAAACTCGACTCTAAGCATATTTCGCTTCTTGTCTCTTTCCTTATTCCCTTCCTTAGATCACCGCCAGAGATCCAATCTGCGCGGGTGCCGCTGCCCTTGCTTACTCGATGGAGCAGGTGGCCGGGCCAACCACGGCCACTTCTGTCTTCTCAATTCACGCCGAGACAGGCCGTGTCTGCTTGGCCGATCGTCTTGACTCAGCTGAGCGTCAGCTGGACGGACGGTTTATTGCGGATGCTACCACTCCTCCGTCCCACGAATACCTACTTCGCGTGACAGTGGAGGACCAGTGTACGACTTGCTATAACCATCCAAGTCTAGACAAGTTTATTTGTCGCACCAATCATATTTTGTTCTGCCAAGAGTCCCTTACTCCTATCGTTCGACTCCTTCGATTGTGAGAAACTACCATTTATCGACTGTACCTGTCACTAACTTTGCTTTGAGTCAATTTCCTACTCGTTAAGGTCATGTAAACTAATTAGCTTTTGCACAAATGCGATTAATGCTTAAAGCATTCCACTTTAAGCAAGACCGTCAGGTCGGATGTAATATGGCCGAAATTTTGGAAGTAATTTAGGCTGATTTAGCTCTCCTTGGAGAAGCGAAGCTGTGGAATGTAGTAGGACAATGACACAGCTCCACAATCTGCAAGCCTCGCTCATTCAAAACACAGCTACCAGAAGTAGATTTCCACTATTACAACCTTTTCTTTAGTTATTAGTCTAATGCAATTCCATGGGGAAATTTAAATCGACTTTAAAAGCATTTAAAGAATAAAATAGAATAAGATATTTATGAAATACAGAGGGAGATTCACTACGGACACTACTACTCGGGCCATTTCAGCAAAGAAGTCTTTGGTCTTGGCGCGGACCTTGTACAGAATTAATGTCGATCTTTAACTGAACAGAGTTCATTATATTTCTGAATGCAATTAGCCATAGAGTTAATAATGTACTAGTAAGTAATATTAGATAGTACATCCTTAATAATGTGTATATATTATTTATGTGCATAATTATATTATTGACATTATATTGTATAAGTATATAAATTACAAAATAGAAATCCATATAAATTATTGATAAATGAACTCGCTTAAAAAATAAAACCACGGAAACAAGGCTCATAATTTATGTCTCCTGGGCACACAACGTTTGTGGCCAGCTTTGGCTCTGGATCGACGGATATCTGGTCCTTTGAGCTGATGCCTCGATGTATTATAGTGTTTTGTGCGAATTTAATAATTGTAAGAAAGCACTAATTTATAAATCCAAACTTTACATCATATTTTGACACGCACATATCAAACTCTCTCATAAAATGTCATTTATTGGACTTTGCTTCTATGTATCTTCTTGAGCACAGGACCGGCCTGGAGATAGTTAGGAGATCCCTGTGATTAGCAAAAGTATATGTATGGAGTTATAACCTTGGATTTTCCGTCTGCTGATTCTCAAGATCCACAGATATTTCCACTTTTTCCCTTACACTCGATCACAGTACAAATAATACAACGTTTTGCGCTTATTATCTAAAGTAATACATCCTGAACACTTTGTAGGGAGAATAACAAGAATCTACTACTTAACACCTTCGAATATTTTTTCCTATTTGTGGGTCTCATAGGCTTATTCTTAAACATTTTTACTTGCTGAAGTGTCATGCTTAAAGCTACGTTGGGACTCATCAAATTGACGAGCAGTCTAATCGAGTTCAATATATGCGTATGGAATGTATATGAAAGGAAAGTTGGGTACGAGACTCCGGGTCTCATTCAATAAGCTGGCAGACCTATTCAAATAGAATAAGATTGGTGATTATCTTCGCAGGAGCCTATCTTACACAGTCAGGATATAAAGATCTGCTCCCAAGTTTTTTGTGGTCTTTGCTTGGAATAAGTGATAAGTAGACATTTCTAGGAGTCTGTTGAGCAGTAAGTCTATTTTGGCCTGAGCTGTGAAGCTGGAATTTTTGTCCGGGCACCACTATACCAATAGCTTTGTCTTCTATCTTTTCTTCATACAAAGGCAGAAGAGGCTTTTTTATCGTTTGATAACAAAGACCATGTACCAAACTTCATCAAGTCCTGAGGCGCGCCCACATAACACAGAAGCGGGTGAAAAAATGTGTGATCCACAGGCTTCCTAGTTTGATTAAATGAAGCCGTTTAAAGGTTATATCAAGAAAAATGGAGCTTCTGTAATATCAAACTCCAAACTTAAGATGAGTTCAACGATAAACTTACACTCTTCCTACAGCTTCAGGAGAGACCAATTTATAACTCC